TCATCCAATCATATTGTGATATGAAGTGACCAATAATAAAATTAACTAATATTCTACTAAAAGTTCATATCACAACAGTATTCTTTACGTGCTATATATATAAATAGCATAAACAAAATGAACGATCAAGAATTGAAAACTCCAGAAAAAGTGCTTAACCTATTAACTGACCGGATGATAAATCTGAATAGGCCAACATTTCAAAAGCTAATCCGTAATGGATATAGATATGTCAATGATTTATCGAATTACTCAGAAATTTTTGAACATATTAATTATGATTACCCTGAATATACAAGCTTTTTATTTAATATATGGAAGCTAACTATAATACCACCACTTGATATTTTACAAAGCAGACTGGATATATATCGCAAATATCTTGTAACTGTTGAATCGTGCCAGAATCTATTTGGATAGGTACACTAGAAATAGAAAAATGAATTATAAAAGTCAATATAATCTGAGTCGTCACAACTCGAAGCTATAATTTTTTTGTTATATCCCTGCCTTCTCATAGTAATTGCTTGAAGCCAAATATTATAGATTATCTTTTTAATTTAGGAAACTTTACCCCACATAGTATTATATATACTCCCTTTTTCTGAACATGAGAGGAAAAAGAATTTTAAATTGACAAATCTGATCTAAGACATTGACGTGTATCATATATCTAATATATATTGATTATTTTTTCCAGGACCTCTTTAAGTAATGCTATATTCTCTTTGATCCCATTGATATTTTTAGTGATTATTAAATTTCAAATTGACGTCCCGGTTATCTCATGTAGGCATATACTCTCTTTTTCTGAGCATGAGGGGGTAATTAATTTCGATTTGAAAAAATATATTTCATAGTGTATATAACCTAAAGAACTGTTCATAACCTACTCGATCTACTATAACATTAGATCATGTCAGCTATCGTGACTAAAATCATTAAAAAATACAATCTCAATCCCAAGATGAGTGTGTCCGATCTTAGTAAATATACCTCAGAATTTCTTGAAAACCTTACTGATAATAGAAAGTGGAATTAAGATTGATGATGTCTTCGAGATGGTTTTAAATTTAGCAGTGATCAGGTAAGTATATTAATACCTAATCAGAGAAGTAGTAAGATCAAGATTATAAATATCATCGAGAATAGTTGCAAAATAGCTATAGCTTCATCCCCTAAAGATTTGGAAGAAGAGATTATCAGAGAGATAACTAAATGAATCTTACAGAATAGATATGGATTTAGCGGGAGACAAGTGGATGATTTATTCTCTATCCAGAAAAATGAAAGTATGTTCGAAGAGCCATTGCCCTGCAATAGAGATGTAAATATTGCAATTTCTAACAAACCCTCGAAAGAAATAGAGGAAGAAACTATCGGAGATATGATACATCGGCTTTTACGGGATAAGCTTAGCATTAGAGATGTAAGAGCTGAAGCTTATGCCTTAGCCCTATCAGCAAAAAATGCCAATGTTGGTTCATCATGTCTTTCCTAACTCCAAAGAGAATTAAAAAACCTTGGTGCTTCATTTCAAATAATTGAGGCCACGAAATTTCCAGATATTACAGAAGATGCTAATAAAATCCAGAGAGATAATCGGAAAAGGGCTGAAGCTAATCGTATTGACTATCCAGATGAATTTATATTAGAATTAATCAAAGAAAGGTTAGATGCGTATGATTTAAAAACTCCACCCAATTATCAGGCTCTTGCAGATGTCATGATAATGCTTTGTATTTGCCCCGCTGAACTTATAACTTTACGCATTACAGATGCTGGAGTGATGGTTATGCGAAGAATCGAGATCAGTCAGATACTCCTAGAAAATTTAGATCTATGGAAAAGAACCAAGAAAGAGCTAGAGAATTGCTTATTTGGATTCAATACGCTATATATTCTGGTTAAATAGGTAATCCAGATAAGCCAGAGGTTAAATAGTTTAATAGATTCTTAAAAAATTATGATTTAATTCCTAAATATTTACATAAATTAGGAGTAGTTTATGGTATAATAGTACATAAAGCTGAGAATCCAGCCCACACCTATACCATTGCTGGAGAATGTCTACGTCACTCATCCGATAATCATACTTCACCTATGCAAAATTATGTTATAGTAAATTACAGACTCAGAGGAGTTCCTTATGAGCAGGCAAGACCATTTCATATCTATGATCAAGATTAATTGCACTTCTTTACTTTTGCCATATCCATAGTAAAATCTTCATTATTATTAGATGATTCAGATGAAGACAAGGATGAGGATGAGGATGTTGTTTCAGATGCTGTATCATTAAAAATTAACTTTTTTCTTTTAGCCTTACATGGTGTACAGTTTCTTTGAGAAATATTCAGGTTTGCTATTAAGTTAACAATCTCTAGCCTAATCTCGGGTTTCACTATTTCCATTAATTGGTGAAGAGAACTCGAAATTCTTCTATGTGATATCTGTTTAACAATTTTAGATACTAGTTTCGAGGTATTATTGCCGGAGGCAATTGTTTTACAGCTATTATTAACCATTGGATTTTAATTGATTTATTATTAATATACAGAAAAAATATAATTAAATATATTGTTATAATAAAACATCATGATGAGAATTTTATCTTGCGAAATTAATAAAGTACCAGTTAAAACTATACTAGATACCACCAGCAATTGTAATCTTATAGGCAGGGATTTAGTAGATGTACTAGGCTTAGAGATTGATATTTCCCATAAAGAAGAGGCAAACTATTAATCCCTTTTCCATCTGAAAAATCACTGAATAATTTAACTATAAAAGATAGAATAACAATACTAGAAAGAATCCATAAAATAAATCCTTCTTTCTGATCTAAAGACAGTAAATGGAAACAGATGGAGGTTAACGATATTTTAGTTCCTAATAAATCCGAATTTGCACATGTATTGTTATTAGGTTCACTATGGATTCAGGCAAATATGTCAGAAATAAATTTTCCCAATCATACTCTCACATTGCTTGATGGAACTGATATATTATTGGATATTTCACAAGAGTTCCCGTCATCAAAACAAATATTCATACCAGTAAAAGAATATTATAAGATAGTGAAATATTATATAATAGTATTGGGTGTAAATAATAACAAAATATACCTTAAGGAACACTTCCTCTGTGAGTTATCTTATAATAATCAGTTAGAAGCCAGAAGATGTGAAACAGACCTGTTATTAGATGAGTTGGTTGTAAAGTTAAGCGTGATTGAGAATATCTAGAAAATGTATAGTATATATGCCTAAAATTAATTATCTGAACATTAGTTGTTTTTTCCGATTAAAGATATATAATATACATTCTTGAGAATGGTGCAACAAAATATTTTTGATTTACTGGAATTACTAGAACAAATCTTATATTTTTTAGAAATTGATCAATCTCTCTATCCCACTTTGTTTGTCAATTACTTTTGATATCACTACGATGCTCCAATTCTGTGATATCGCATTGAGTTTTTCAATGAAGATTATCAGCAGAGTCTGCGTGCCTTAAATATGTCTCAGATTCTTACTCAGCGATTGATAAACTTTGAAAGAGTTATGTGTAAAAAAATAAAACCACTCTATTGTTCAAAGATGGTATATCTCAGGTTAGAAGGTTTAAAAATCAAAGATGCGTTGATTAGTATAATTCTACGCTTATATCCAGATATACGTACTCTTATTCTTGATAAAAGTAAGAATTTCACTAATATACCAATTATAGAAATTGTGAGATTTTCTCCAAAACTACAACATCTGAGTCTTAATTCATGTAAATGTCTTACTGATTGATGTATCACTGAAATTGCTCGCTCATGCCCAAAACTTAAACATCTTGAACTTAGTAATTGCTCAATTAGTAATAAAGCCATCGAGGAAATAGCTTGCAATTGTACTAATTTGAAATATCTTAGTTTGAAGGGATATAAAGGGATTAGTAAAGAAGTGATGAAAACCCTCAATCCAAAAATTAAAATCGAATATCCTAATTATTCAAATAAAAAATAGTCCAATTTTCATTTACCTCTACCTATTCCAATGTTTATCAGTACATTATTAGATGAAACAAATCTTATTTCTGCGCTCAGTAATTATATCAGAGAGATTAGCGGGATTAATCATAATCATTCAGCATGATTTACAAATAATTTTATTTAGTAGTGGAGAATGGGTAATTATTTACCAAGTTTTTTTTCCATATGCAATTTTCTGATCTATACGAACTGTCAGCATATTAGGAAAAGAAATCATTTTTACGTAATTTTTGATGGAACTCGTTATGTTGTGTTTGGAATTTCATGTGTGAGAATAAGGGTTCTTTACCTCTATATTTTATCTCACGTGGGACAAACTCAGTAATAGCATAATTAGTATCATATTCTGGGTTTGTAGGCTAATAATTAATTTTCTCTTTAAGGCCATACATACGTACCATCAAACCGAGCCTTTCAGCTGTACCTCTCATATCCCGCTCCAATTCCACAATTGATTTTTGATAATGATCATCTCTAATTTTGTCTTCGCAGTATTGTACAATATCTTCGAGATTCGCATAAGTTGACCATAAATCCTGCACTAAATAAACAAGTGATGTCCGGAGATCATCAAGTTCTTTTTCTGGGTCCATTTCAAGTGTTGAATCCCGCTTTATCTTGATCTTTGAATTAAGTTTGCTCAACGCATCTTTAGTAACATTTGTGCCTACTATAGAAAGAAATTCCAAGTTCGGACAATGTTGAACGATTTCATTAATAACTATATCAGTAACAAGACGAAAACACCTAATATTAAGATACTTTAAATTTTTACACGAATGCACTATATTACAGATAGATGTATTAGAAGCATTACAAGCGCCAATATCAAGATGTTCGAGCTTCGGGCAAGAGTTAGCAATATTACAGATAGATAAATTGGTAATAAATCTACACTGATCTAGTTCTAGGAATTTTAAATTATGAATATGTTGCAATAATGTAATAACTGAATTATCAGTAATATTATGACAACCCTTTAAAGAAAGGTGGTAAAGATTAGGACATGAGTAAGCTATTACAGATATTGTTCGATCAGAAATTGGCTTATACCGTTTTAATCCACCAATACACAGAAGTTCTAATTTACAACTTGCTTTTACTGTTTTATATACAAAATTATCAGTGATATTCCCACAGAAACTAATATCAAGGTTGCGTAATTTTTGGCAAGATTGAGCAATTTTATATATGAAGTGACCAGTTATATCTTGGTTACCGCAGACATTGAGAGATTCTAAGTTGGGGTATGATCGGGCAATTTCTATAAGTGATGCATCAGTAAAACTTCTACTTTGTTCAAAATTTAGACTGGTTATATTTGGATATGAGCGTAATATACTTAGAATTTTGTTATCTGAGAGTTTTGGATAATCTGTAATTTTGAGACTTCTTAGGCTTGAACTATAAGATGTTTTCTGTTTCTTACATGCAGACTCTAAAAATTTTTCCAAAAGAGCGATATTTTCACTGGAGGCAGATGCCCTATCTCCCACGAACTAGAACTGCTCATTTTTACGTCTCTATATATAAAAATAACAGTAAGTATGAATATGTGTTATATTCTTAATTAATAGCGATATATTGAACGATGGTACATTACTTCGAATTAGCATTATAAAACGTTATTGGTACCCCCACCTTACAAGAGGAAAAAATGAAGTATTTTATACCGTCCAGGACCATTAAATCTATTCCAAAACCAAATATATTTTCGTCATTTTTTCGGTTAACCACTTGATTGTCTTCAGTAAAACACGACGATCTCACTGGCGGAGTAAAAAAGTGAAGGATCATGACGATCTGGGAATTCCAAATCCCTATAACATATGATTCTTGATAAAGCTACTAATGAGAATTGATAAGCCCATTCCTCTTATGGTTCTTTTAAATCTAATTCGTGGTTTCTTGCCGAAGGTGTGCTAATAGCGGGTACATATGAGATAAGGAAAGTATATAAATCACATTACGTATTTAATCGACGAAGTTTGTGAAACATGCGTAAATCTTTTTTTTCGCTATACGTATTTAGGCTAGAAGATATTTCTATAATAAACATGCTTCACGATAAGATCAAGCGTAAACGAGACTCGAAAAGGCAATAAGGAAGGTCAGCTCGACAATCTCTATTAGTGCGTATGTCAAGGGACTTATGTCTTGGGAAGTCGAAATCTCTGCAATCTCCGAGATCGTCATGTACTTGCCATTCTATATGAGTTGCGTAGTCAAATACTATAAAAAGCCACTGATCCACCTAAAAATAAACGAAAAATTTTTCATTCTCTTCCCTTACATTATCTAGCTTCTTGCAACGCATCGCATAAACCAGATTTTTTACGCCTTGTACCGATATAAAAGATAACATGTCCTCACACGATTCGATCCCTTCTTCACCTGTATCTGAATCCTCTACTTTGACGGAAGAAAGGTCGACTCGCACGATGGCGGACGTTATTAAAAATTACAAGACGGAAGAACTTATCGACTATTTGCAGAGGCAAGATTTAGATCTCAAAGAATCCCATTTCAAGATTTTTCGACAGGAAGAAATTTCTGGTCGGGATTTTCTTAGCACATCTAAAGAGGAGTTTCGCAGTTATGGATTAAAAGCTGGCCCAGCAAAAAGGCTTGCAGATTTTATCGATGAGATAACCGACCAAAAACTACGAAGCTTCTCGTCGTACAAAACGCTGGACGAGTTAAAAGATGTACTCCGCAAATATAAAGTCAATGGTGAGGATATTATGAGTATCAAGCAATTCAATCCAGGTATGTGGTACTTTATTTTATTTTTTCTTGGCAAAAACCGTTCCCTTGGGGAACGATCGAATAAGATTATATGCTAATGTTTTTTCTGTTATACAGTTTTTGAGGAAATCGATGACAACGACAAAGCACTTGAACAGTGCATGAATGAAATAACACTGCGGTTAACGAATGTAAAATCAATGATAGAGGCCAATGAGGCGACCCGATGTGAATTTATTTCATCAATATTACACGCATCAATCGCAATCGTACGGAGGTTAACGGATAAAGAAATCAATATAGAATTGCAGAGGGATATTTCAGGTGAAGAAGCATCTGGTAGAGTTGATTATGCTATAACAGGGATGGAGGATCTTTTGTGTATAACCGAGGGTAAACCACGAAATGTTAAGATTGGTTATCTCCAAAATATAAAACAACTCGAGAGTTCCTTCCATATGAATAAGAAGAAGCGAACTGCAGACGAAGCATTTAAGGCTGAGGATTACGACTATCTATATGGGATTGTGTCAACTGGTATGTGAAAAATTTTCTATTATAACATTACGTACGCACATATACTGGATTTTTTTTTGCCAAAGGTAGCTATGCTAATTATATGATTTATTTTATTGTGAAACAATGTGGCTCCACCTCTAGGTGCGGATTGGCATTTTATTATGTTCACTTCTGAAGGAATTTTTTGTACGAGCAATAGTGAATATCAAATAAATCTTACGAAAAAGGCACTTAAGGGAAATCAGGAAAATTTGAAAGATGATATAAAACTGGTGATTAGTATAATCGTAGGGTTATTAAAAGATAGGGTGTTAGCGTGTGATGAGCCTGAAAATAAGAGGCGTCGCGTGCAAGAAAAAATTACCAAGAAATAGCTGATAGATAGATTTCCCGCCTCATGTATTTTTATATATATATGTATGTTAATAAAAAATTTTTTTCTGATCGTGAACAGTGTTCACGGTTTTTGCCAAGAAGTGGTGATTGTATGATTAATTAAATATATCACATTTTATATGAAAAAATGTCAGATGCACAAGTCCAAAGGGACGAATCTAAATATTCACGAACTGCAATTGCTTCATTAAGAGAATTAAATGCTAAACTCTTAGCCGAAATTGCCGAGCCGGGACACCATGTCACATTAATGTCACGATAAAAAAAACTCACGGAAAATTAAGAAAAAAAGGCTTGGTTTATTTTAGCTTTTTAATTTCTTTTCTTTTAACAGTACCAAGATAAAATCAGAAAGAGATGAATGAGTCTGAAAATTCTTGACTTTTATTACGATTATAGCTTCGGTTAAAGGGAAAG